ACCACCATGTATACATTCGTGTGTTGTGACGTGCTTTTCTTTTCCAATTTTATTGACCTGTGACTTTTTTCTCTACATTGATTCCTACTGGAAAAATAGTTTCAGTTTATGAATATTTCAGGTTACAAACAGCCTTCAGGAATTAATTAAATTTGTGAACTGAGGTTCTACTGTAGGTCCAAGGATGGAGCTCTAGGGGACACCTGCATTAATGCAAAAGGATCTAGAAGAGTGGCCATTCAACACTACTTTCATTACATGATTTGATAAGAAAGATTGAATCAAATTCAAAATTTGACCAGAGACACCATAGCCATTCTGCTAGAGAAGACCAGCATGCCAAACCCTGTCAGATGAATTCACGATATCTAAAGCCGCAGCCTGAGCCATGCCATTCTTATTTAAAGCTTGACAGATTCTTTCAGTAATAACCATTAATACATCAGCAGTTGACCTAGAAAAGTCATATTATTTGTCAGAAAAGACCATGTGAAGTAAGATACTTAACCAATTTGGAGTTAATTATAGCCTCTAGTACTTTGTCAAAAAGAGGTAGAAGACTAATAAACTGATAGAAGGATCAGACAGTTTGCCTGAGTTCTTAAAAAGGTTGCAACTACAGAAGAGCATTTTCAGCTGGCAGAAATGCAAAAAGTAGAAGGGTATTTATTATAGCTTAGATAGAACAGGAGCACATTTCTTTAAAATTTGCAGGGATACCCTCAAAAATTAAAATAAAAATCACAATTAAACTCCTTTAAATCTTTCCAAATCCTCTGCATTGTCTTCAGATTGACATCCAAACACCCTGAAATGTATGTATTGGAGTTTCTGGCACAAATGCCAAGCAGTACACCATGCCTTTACCAAATTTCAGGCAGAGTGAATTTTCTCATAGACAGTGTTGTACTTTTCTGTGCAGTCAAAAAAATCAAAAGCAAACAATGCACATACATGAATTTAAAAAGATAAAATGGCAACAATTTACCCAGCACACCTATATATATATATATATATATATATATAATTATTTTTTAAAAATGATTCCTTCACATTTTAAAAGATAAAAAATAATTATAATTTAGGCTCTACTTTTGTATCGAGCACTGTTTTTTAAAAATAAAAGCAAAAATACTAAAGAACTTTGGATTATTTACCTAACGAGTTCTTTCCTATTTTCTACATATTTGCACACACACACACACACACATATATATATATATATATATATATATATATATATATATATATATAAGAATGAGTGACAACAGAATACATTAAGGTCCTTATGTATAGTCAGCTTGACAGTGGACAAAGAAGTATTGGATGTCCATGGGTCAGATATAAAGGCAAGCTAAAGAGTAACCTCTCAGATGTCAGTGTACCTTATACTAACTTCGAGCGAGTTGTCATGGATAGAAATAACTAGAGATATTTGTGCCAGAGTGGTATCAGAAATTTTTTGAAATCAGTCATATTGATTTGCTAAGAGACAAAAGACAATGGGGAAAAGTGTCAGCAAATGTTCCTGTGGCAATGTCCCGAGATCCTTGCTGTTGCACAATATGTTGGCTTGTATGCAGGTTACTAGTAGAACTGAAGTGCCACATACAACACAAACATAAAAACTGAATGAGTTTGTTCGATCCTCATATGTTGAAATCAGCAGGAGAGTCTATCATATCATATATATATATATATATATATATATATATATATATATATATATATATATATATATAAATTTGCTAAGCATAGCTTAGATATGGCAAAAGGCTGAATGAATGGAGCACCCAGTAAGGATCAGACTCACTACTCGGTCATAACTGATTGAGCGAGACAAGCTTGCTAAACACTACACCACATTGAAGTGTCCAATCTATTTTTTATTTTTTTTTATCCATTTTTACTTCTTGAAAAGAGGGATGGGTTAACTATTTTTATTTCTCATTCAAGTGGAAAAACTATATATGAATCCATTGCTAAGTCAGACTATAAGTCTACCATTCATCAATACTTAGAATATTGCTGCCTCATATAGTCCGGTGCTCCTGCTATTTACCTTGATCTCCTTGATAAAATCCAAAGAAGAATCAGCACTATTATTGGTCCTGATCTGACATCTCAGTTTCAGTCACCTTCTCATCAGTGTAAGGTTGCCTCTCTATGACTTTTCTATAAATACTTTCATGGTAAGTATTCGGATAAACTCTTCACCATGTTACCTAGACTTTTTGAATTTAAGCATAGTACTACACTGGCATCAATATCTCATCAATTTATAGTTGAGCTAGCTAGATGTAGCCTTAAGTTCTATGCTAACAGTTTCTTTTCTTGCACTTCTCACTTGTGGAACTCTCTTCATACTTTCCAGCCAACTTTAATCTTCAAAAACTTAAATTTAATGTCAATTGCTATCTACTGTCTTTCTAATTACACTTTTCATTCTTGGTTATTAGTAATGTTTCTGTCTCTTATTCTTCCAAACCAAGTAACTCCTTGTGTCTTAGTGGTTTTACTGCCTTGCATGGTGTGAACTTGATTAAAAAGAAATCACAAATAATCTGAAGCTTTGTACCATATGATGAAAAAAGACAGTCCTGTGGCCTTCCAATGGTTCACACTTGGGATCTTGTTCTCTCTTCTTTTGCAAAACTTGATTGTGCAGACTGAGGTCAAATAACTCTCTTTTGGTCTCATCACGCCAAAGAGTATTATTGCAGTCAGTATATGGTTTACGTAAATGCTTCTTAGCAAGCTTCAGCCATGCTTCGACAAAGCAGTAAGTTTTTGTGCTTTACAAGATCACTGGTCATGTAATTTGAAATGCAACCATTGTCAGCGATGCCCAAGATATATTCTACCACGGTTCTGTAGCTTTAACTGATGCTTTACTATTCTTACAAGATTGCTTCCAACCCAAAGGAAAATCTTTTGAAGGGCAACAGATTGAACTAATTTCCTCTCTATTTTGCAAACTATCAAACAATGGAGCTATGGCTGTGTAACCTTTATCCCTGTTACAGAGGCTAATTTTTTTTTTTTTTTTTTTTTTTTTTACAGTAAGGTTCACCCTGTACAAGGCCCAGGGGCCCCTCAAAGTAGAGGGTTACATTAAGAGGTAGTTTATGTGGATACGAGAGGAAGATAAATGTTAGACCTAGACTTGAACAGGTTAAGATTGTCATGATTGGGGGAAACATCCTCTAATCAGAACAAAAAAAAAGCAATTTTATACATCAGAACAAGAGAACATGCATAAAACAGGATTTAGATACAGGTCCAAATCTTATCAGAGAGCACATTTTCTTGAATTTTTTTCTCAAATATATGGGTTAGTAGACAAAATATACACTGTTTAAAAAAGAATGGTACGTTATACTGAAAGACAGATATCCACTAAAGGTAACATTTGAAGTAATAAAAATGTCAGATTAAAAATAAAAAAGAAAAATATATATATATATATATATATATATATATATATATATATATATATATATATATATATATATATATATATTTCTATAGAAGTAATGGATTTTTACTTATTAATCTATTTTATCACTGAAATGTTATAGTGGATACACATATTCAAGTAGACACACCATTCATTTATTAAAGAGTACATCAATTTATTTTTGCCTACAAGTCCAAATATTCAAGAAATCCCATTACAGAAAAGATGCTCCTTCTGGCAGGATTACAAACCTTTCAGCTTTGTATTGTTCCTTAGTTTTTGGCATTGTGGTTGCTACTATGGCAACAGACATACCCTCTTCCCAAGCATGTTAACTGTTAGAATGTTCTAAAATAGCCTACAGCCATCTAGTACCCACCACCTGGAAATTTATGTTCTCCAGTCGTATTTGTTTAATCTTTTCTAGAGTGAAAATTGAATACTTTGATTTTCTAAAAATATGTCAGTTAGGTCAAGTGTCATACATGATACACTGTTGGGCAATATTGACTGACTGATTTTCCCACAGGTGGTTGCCATTTCTTTCCACGGTAGACTGGCTGCCAACCGTGACTATGGGACCAAGTCTGTTCAACCCATAACTGGTGGGAAAAAAGATGGATTCCCACCCTTTCAAATGGTATTTACACATAAGTGAATTTAACAAACCTGGCTGGAATTCAAACTTGAAAAATGTATCCTTTATAATTTTGTATAAATACTGAAATGTTGTAGACTTGCACAAAATGCCAGCTAAATTCTATATGCATGGGGTAAATAATGCAATAAACTTTTTTTTGCAGCATGTATTAAATAATTTATTTTTACGTTTGTGTGTAGCTTCCACTTTTTTCTTCACACACACCTCATTCATCTACACACAAATATGCATGCATGCAAGGGTGCTGAAAAGTTATCATCATAACCAAGGCTCCACACACACGTACAAAAAAAGAAATCTGTTTTTTGTTTTTTGTTTTTTAATTTGGTCAGGTTCAGGCAAGTGGTGGAGGCTGCGAACCTTTCATCACCACATTGTAAAATATGACAATTGTGCAACAATGTCACTACTAAAAATAAAATAACAAGCATAACATGTAGGTCATATTCATTTATAAGAAGGGAAAGAAGATTATCTGGCAATTTTACTTTTCGTAGAATATCATTTACTCACCATAGAGAATTTATTTGCCTTCCTTCAGCATGGCAGTCTTCTTAATTCTTATTTTTTTTATTGTTCTCTCTCCTTAATAATTTTTATTTCTCATATTCTCTCACACTCAATAAACCCTTGTGTCTTAGTGGCTTTATTGCCTTGCTTGCAATGAAATAATTTTTATAAAAATACTAACATTAAATATATGTAATGTTGGTTTGTCTGGTAGGTTGATTGTTTACCCAAATGCTAAAGACTACCAATAATTGTACATTGACTAATTCTATCATACTGTAATCTTAAATGTGCATGTTAATTAGTGGGGTTATATAACATCAAATAAGTTACTTATTTAATATATTCTTTTCATTCTGTTCCTTTCAGCCCTTGCTGCTGCAATCACATGTGCTTCTGTAGCCCTGGCTTATGCTGGTATTGAGATGTATGATCTTGTATTGAGTGCCTCTTTGGTAAGTAGAACTGTTTCTATCAGGTGAAGCTTGTGGCATCATGTTAACATGTAAATTTGAAATCTCAATTTCCAGTGTTCTCTCTATGGCTCTGTTATTAGCTGCAGAATTCAAAGATTTATTTTGTTTATTTGATATTGAGTCATTTTTTTTTTCTGGCTATTTGTTGTTAAGTCTTTTTCCCTTGACTCTAGGTAGAGGATTACAGAACAAGAGACATAGTTTATGTAGATATATGGGGAAGATAACGATTGACCCTAGACTTGAACAGGTTAAGATTGTAGTGATCAGGGAAGCATCATCTTGAGAGTCAGTTTCACAGAGCAGTAGTTTATGAGAAGCTGCTCAAGTGGAACTTAAATCTTGCTAAAGGATAGTCTTGGGTATCATGATAGACAACATCGTGCAATAAAGGCCTCTGATCAAACGATTTGAGGTTTTGTGGAGCATGGAACCACCTTTCCATTGCTGTTAGGGTTCAAGCTATGGGTAAATAGTGAACCCCCAAATACTAGCAAAGTTTAAAAATAGATTTTTATAGTAAAAACACCAGCAATATATTTTTATAAAAAAAACAAAAATGACCAAAAATATATTTTAAGAGTAAAATGACCAACAATACATTTTAGAGTAAAATTGAAGACGTGGCATACATTGTTAAAATCATAATTTCATAAAAAATTACCAACAATACATTTTTATAGTAAAATTACTATCAGTACATTTTATAATAAAATTGAAGACATTGTCAAAAAACAACCAACATCACCACTGGAATACAAAGGGAATGAGGGTGGTTCACTACAATGGGCGTGGCATGGCATGGCAGGTCTTAGTTGTGAAGGTAAGAACTGTTGGATCTAAGGAATATAATTCATTTGAACACTTTCCATGGATAGAGCAGTGAGACGTTCTCGATATTTCATCTGCAAGAAAGTGTCTGTGGGATGGAAAATAATTTGTCACGCACAAGGACACAGTCTTGCATTTGGATTCTATCGAGACTGGAAAGTGGAAAATTGGGCAGCTCCTGCCCAGATATGGCAGCAGTTCTCTATTTTCTGCCTGACTTGGCACTTGTAAAGGTAGAGGATAGCACAAAGACTCAAGCACGTATTGGAGGGGTACAGGGAACTGACCATTTTTCCAGCATCTTTAGCAGTGGATCATGTGTATGAGTTTCACTTGAGGTCTGAGTTGAGTTTAAGTCTCAATAGGTACTCAAGGCACAGGGCCTCCCTCAGGGAACATATGTACATCGCGATTGGTGATAGTTCTGAATCTGATTGGTGATGATGGAATGTTGAGTCTTTACCCCCTATTTGAAGTTGAATCTTTTTTTGTTGTCTATTTGACTTTGAGAGTTTTCTTTTTATTTTGTTTAATCGAAGTTGAGTCAGAAAATTAGATTATACGTTAGGCACTATGTGAAGATTGATTTCTGTTTATCACCTTGTCTTGATTTTGCAAGCGTTAGATGCCTAAATACAGTTCATAAAATTTGGGTTATCAAAATTTGTTTAGCTGATTTGCAAAATTCCCATTTATTCCCATGGACTAAAAAAAATACTGAACTATTTTTTTTCTAATTAATAACATTTATTTCCTACTCATAAATTCTTGTCAGCTGTCATAGTGTTGTAATGGAATGACCCACACTCCCTATCGCCTATTGTGGACTGACTATATCAGTAGCTATATATATAGTGAGCACAGGTTATATTTGGGGACCTGCTTTGGGAATTACTAGCTTGCCACCTGATTCCCTGTCTTTCAGTAGTGTATTCTCTTTTACAATAAATCTCTCTTTCTTTCATCTATGCCTGTGTTGCTCTTCCTTCTCTCGAGTACCACCTTTGTCTGTAACCTTCTTTAAGGTTAGAACACATAAACAATCCAAATTATAAGCTGGGTCTATTGAAATTATTTCCTTGTATATTTTTTTAAGTTTATTTAATACACTACTCTCAGTTAATTTGCAGTCATCCTTACTTTTTGAAAAAAAGGTTTCTGAATGATAGTGATCGGGTTACCATCTACTTTACATTTTAAAGCTTTAGAATTAACAAACTGACAGTAGTCCACTTCAAGGATTCATTCATCATCATCACCTTTAAAAAGCTTAAGCAAGTTTTTTTTTTTTTTGTTTTTTTTTTGCATTGGATTTAAGGTCCAGTTCAAAATATTGCCTCAAAATAATCATTATTTAAATGTTTCACCTGCTACCATAATATTTAAAATAAAAGACTCAGTTGAATAAAACTGATAATTAAATATGCCGTATATACTCACATATCATGCACTTTTGAAGACCTAAATTTGAAGCTAATTTTAAGAGGGTTGCATCATACATGAAATATAAATTTAGTGTATGCACTGCTGGCCCTAGCTACGTTGACCAAACTATATATCCATTTACTCTAGTCAAATTAGCTTCAATATTAGATCTTCAGAAGTCATATAATATGTGAGTGTATGCGGTGATGATTATTTTAATAACATATCAGAATAATTGGTAGTTTCATTTTTGTTAATGCTAAATCAGAGCGCATTACAAACATTTGGTTGCCTTTGATTTAGCAAATTTTGAGAAAATTTCTCCGTCAAACACATCACTTTAGAAATACAGTTTGTCTTCATTAAGAACTAATATAGAGGAGAAAAAAAAAACCGTAGACATGTGGAATGAATCTGCAATATTTTGTGATATAAAAACAAGAAATTAAAAAGAAATGATGTCAAAACATTTTTTGTTTTAGTTTTTTTTGAAGAGAAAAGAAATTAAGTCAAGAGATAAGTTATAAAAAATATGTGTCAAAATTGCATTGCATGAGAAAATAGGATTTGAATTTAGGTTTCATAAAAAAAAGGACTAGTTTAAGTTGTTTGTTTTTTTTATATACACAAATGAACATATATCCTGTCCTGATGTCATACAAAGCAATTGACAATTTGAAAAAAAAAAAAATACAGAATAATTCCAAAAGAGAAAAACATTGCCACATTTTCATTGGCTTACTGCCATATCATGTTAAAACATTGGTTCCCGTACGATTGCTGAAGTTAAGCAACATCAAATGGTACCTATACCAGATGCTGTAGGCTTAGACGTGCAGGTGGTATTATGGATAACAATTTGGAGTTGAAACTTGAAGAGCTATGTTCCAATTCCAATCTGGTTCATTATATTCACTTACAAGGAAGGTAAGAATTTACGTCTTTGCTCCCTCAGCTATGGGTTAAATAGTAAGATTTTTATCACTAGATTATTATTATTTTCAAAATATTCTTACAATCTAAAAATATTTTCTGGCTTGAGAAAATCTGCGAAAGGTTGATCATCCGTAAGCAAAAAAAAAAACTAGATCAATCACATCCTCACTGTGTTTCTTCATCTTTTCTTTTATATGAACTTGTGATTTTTTTCTTTTGGATGAAACGTTGGTGTGGGAGGAGGGGAGGATGACAGTGAGGGCTGAAAGAGTTTTGTACCATCCTCAATGTGGGATTATGCAATTGTACAAAGCTCATTTTAGCTGGACATCTAATAAACTTAATGTGTAAATATCGATGACCATCTTTAATTACTGAACTTTCTCTCAGAAATCACTTACAACCACTTCATTAATATATGCAAAAGATATCAGTAACAAATTAAAAGACAAAAAGCTGTGGAGAGCCATGATCATCCATGTCCTGAAGATAAGATAAAGAAAATTTTAGTTTTATATTTTAAGAAATAACTTGGCCATGGAATCTTTTAAATATTTCTTTTACTCTATATATATATATATATATATATATATATATTATGATAAACGTGCAATCAATTTACAAATTCATGAATTATTCACACAAAACAAATGCAAAGGTTAATGATTTAATTGGCAAGAAATCCATAAATGCAAAACAATTGAAATAATATACAAAAACCTCCGAATCCGTTATGAATGAAATGATCCTTGTTTCTATAAATTTCTGCCGTATTAGTTCTTATTTTACTACAAGCTTTCGTCTGTTCCTACTGCGCGCTCCAAAAACAATAACTCATTTCCAATAGCATTTTTGGATACAACAATACATATATTTTCATTGTCCTCTTATTACTAAGAGAAAAAACAAGAACAACATCTATTCTATACCTGAAGATGTCTGTAGGAACAGACGAAAGCTTGTAGTAAAATAAGAACTAATACGGCAGAAATTTATAGAAACAAGGATCATTTCATTCATAACAGATTCGGAGGTTTTTGTATATTATTTCAATTGTTTTGCATTTATGGATTTCTCGCCAATTAAATCATTAACCTTTGCATTTGTTTTTGTGTGAATAATTCATGAATATATATATATATATATATATATATATAGAAAAAGAACAGTCAGATTAAGAATCGAAAGTTCTTTAACATTTATTTTTTTTAAAAATGCTCAATACAACATAGAGCATAATATTTTTATTTTGAAAAAAAAAACAGTTATTTCCACTGAGTGAGAATTGAATTCACTTACTCAGTCATAATGAGCCATGATGGCAGCTCCCTATTATGTAATGATGTTGGCCGAAAAAATGATAAATAATGGTATTACAATAATTTATTTTTTATAAATTTTACTTCTGTGTTATTTCTTTTCAGAGACTAGCTGGAGACATTGTTCTTCTTGATCCTTCTGAAAATGAGGAATTTAAGCCACAGGTAATATTTCCTCCCAGATGTACAACAATCTGAACATTTTTTTTTTTAAACACACTCCATCCTGTTTGTTTTCAAAAAGGATTTCCTTCGTTGCATCTGAGTGTACTTGTGTCTCGTGTTTCTTACTTGGGTGGGATTTCATTATCAAATATCTCAAAAAGTGTAGTTGCTAGATGAGGACATTCTGAAAAAGTCACAGCCTAACCAAAAAGGGATATACTCCTTCCCTACACACCATTTTCAATGTTTGGTTAGATTTTGGGAAGTGGATCAGGCTGGGAAATTTTCAGCACCCCCTTGTACAAAGTATGAGGTGCAAATTGTCACCATTTTATATTTTTTTTTATTTTGTGCATACACGTTTGTTTTTGATTCTGTTGACTGCATAGTATTATAGGGTCAATTGGGCTCCATCTGTGAGAAAAAGAGGATCATGAGGCAATTCACTCCGCCAGAAATTTGGTAATGATATGCTGTACTGCTTGGCATTCGCGCCGGAAGCTTCAATACAAATGCTTCAGAGTGTTTGGGTGTCAATCTGAGGACAGTGCAGAGGATTCGGAAAGAGTTGGATGAGTCTAATGGTGCTTTCAAAGATATGGCTGCTTGAAAAACTCACTCTGATAAGAAAAAATTCCCAAATTTGTTGGCGAGAGCCTCAGACAAAACAAGAATGTATACATAATGTGCCTTGAGGAGATGATGTTGCCCTGAGTCAAGAAGGTGGTTGCTGCAAGACCTTATGTCTCGCAACAGGACTCTGCACCATGGCACACAATCAGGAGAACCCCGTCATGGCTGTCAGACAATTTCTGCAACCACATAACTCCTTACATCCGGCCTCCTAACTCCCTAGACTGCAAGCCTCTTGATTATTATGTGTGGGGCGCAGTTGAGCAAGAGAACAACAAAACTTGTAACACCAAAGATGAACTGAAGGCAAGGATTATAGCAGCATTCCCCAACTTAAAGAAGGAGACTGTCCGGAAGAGTTGCAGGAGATTCCAGAGTTGTCTGGAGGCAATGGTTGAAGCCAATGGCAATTTTATTGAATAAATTTACTCTTTACTATTTCAAAATGTTTTTTGTGTAATTTTGGTAAATATATCTGTTAGTTTCATTTTTGCATCCTTTAGACGACAATTTATCTATCGCACCCTGTATGTGGATGTATGGTAATTTTATTGGATAGTGGCTTGGTGTGCAGAGTTCAAATTCCAGTCAAGCCCATTACATTGACTGATATAGCCATGTATTTTGTTAAGGTGGGTCCTGCCTGACAGAAAATTTGTCATAATAATTTGAGGCAAGATTTTTTCAACACCAGATACTTTTCCTCACACACAACATCGACACTCACAGTAGCCCAAGTACTTTTACTTTTATTGAACACCTGTTCCCATATGATAACTGAAGTTAAGCAATGTCAATACTGGTCAGTACCTAAATGGGTGACCACTTGGGAACACCAGGTGCTGTAAGTTTGGACCTGCACATGGTGTAATGAATAATGGCCTGGAATTGTTGATCAGAGAGCCATGTTTTAGTTGACTTTGTTATATTCACATACATTCCAATACACTTATAGAAATTCTTCTCTTCTCTCCCCAACTATGGGTTAATTAATAGAGTAAGACTTGTATCACTAAATCATTATTATCTAAAAAATATTTTCTTCCTTTAAATAACCTACAAAAGATTGATAAACCATAAAAAAAATGGATCAATCAGTCACTCCTTGAAATGGTTCAATAGTGTGTCTTGTACTTGATGATGAACAAATATTAAGTTGAGAACCATTTAAATGTTGCAGTGACTAATGGTGAAGTTTAGATGCTATATCAAATTTATGGAGTGGGTGAGTCTGATTCTTTCAGGAGTTGTATTTTTCTCTTGTACTGCCATTTCTTATGCTGCAAGCTTAGAATTTTCTTCAATAAGCAGAGTGCTTGTGTGTCGATTGAAATCTGCCATAAAGAACTGAGGGAATTTTTGTGGATGAGATTCCTTAGTGGAAACTGAGTAAACCATTGTTGGCATTTCCAGATAATAAAGATTTAATTTCTAAAGACAGTGAAAATATTCCTCACCACATCTGAAGCCAAATAAGCCATTTTGAAGATGTAAAGCCATCAATCTTTCAATTGGGGTTGGTCCTTTTCACTCGTTTTCATGGGACATCTGAATTCAATAATTATTCCACTTGACATTAAATATTCCTGAAGGAACAGCGAAATGATCAAAGGCATAAAATTATACGCATAACCTTGGATTATATAACCAAAAGTGTCTCCACAGTAAAACAAGTAACAAGGTTTTTCAAGCTAATGGGCCCCTGGGCCAGGTTGTGCAGACTTAGACTCAGACACTGGGTGAGAAATATCTAAACAGTTCTTAGTGTGAATAAGGCAAGATGCTCTTAGGCAGAAATTGTAGGACAAGGACAATCTACTCGTTGGAGATTGAATAAAATGTTCAGTTTGAAATTATCCAGATTGACAAGCAGAACAGCTGAAACAATGGGATGAAAACAACAAAGATGATGACAATAATTCTCTTGATTAATAATGTCTTAACAAAAGTTTTACTTAATTTTACTATGATGATGTATTTCTTATTTTTTTTAATTTCTAGATGGATCTGCAAGTGAATAATGGAAGCCTGACTGTAGGGTACATGCCTTCTTTGAACCAAATCTCAGCACTCACCTCGAGTGGAGAGTGTCAGCTTGATGTTCTTACAAAGGTAATATCATCAATTAAAAAGTTTGTATTCTATGTAAAACTGGGATGGTGAAATGGAAGATGTGGGTGTAGCGTAACAGTGCAGAATAGCAAGTTGAGTTGCATTCACTTTCACACAAATGCTTTTGGGAAAGTCCTCTCTGGCATCTTGTGGCAACCAAGGAAAGAAAATTCTGAATTCCAAAACCTTATAGAATTTGGCTACTAACATTTTTGCCTCAATCATTTCTAATATTTGTGCTTCTTCATACATTTTGTTTAATGCAAGAGGATGCTGAAGATTTTTCAACCTGACCCACATCCCAAAATTAATGTATTCAGAACCTGTAAATAAAATAGAGAAAAAGTGATTCAGAATTTTATTTATGCAATTATATAAAATATATTTTCTTTTCATTTTGAAATCCTTTCTTCTTTTGATGAAGCTTTTTAATGGCAACAATATGAATGAGAATTTGAGAGAATATGATAAACATCTGAAACCTAATTAAGGCATTTTCGTTTAGACATTAAAACTCATAAAGAGTTTAATAATAACTGATCTAATAAAAGCTGACATATATTAAAAATCTATTCATAGCTAAAAAAAAAAAAAAGAGGGTTAATCAAAAATATGTATTAGCATAAATTGGTAATACTGAAATATAACAATTAAAAACGACTGGTACCCAGAAATGCCCTATCTGTGTATAACATGGATAGATGGGGTGATTGTGAGATTTCTGGTACTCCTGCTATATATTTTGTCCATGCTCTGAATATTGCTGCCACATATAGTCTGGTGCTCCTGCTATATATTGAAAGATTTTTGATAAAATCCAAAGAAGAATCTGCAATGTTATTGGTCCTGACCTGGCATCATGACTTCAATCACTTTCCCACTACTATAATTTAGCTTTCCTCTGCCTTTTTTATAAATATTTTCATGGTAATTGTTCTGATAAACTTTCCTCTTTGGTATTGAGACTTTATGAATTTAAGCACAGTACTAGATTGGTGGCAAGTTCTTGTCATTTTAGGGCTGAAATGTCTAGATGTAACCATGAGTTCTATGCTAACAGTTTCTTTTATTGCACTTATTGCTTGTGGAACTCTCTTCTGCCTTCTTGAGGTAATGCAATTCTGCATATCACTGCACCAGCAGGTTGGATGTATGCAAATATGTTGGTGCAAGCTATGTTCCACAGATTTGTCTCAATATTCAGGCCATGAACACCATCAACAAGACAATGCTTTTCAAGATACTTATTGGGTCGGGAAGTAACAGAAAAATATGATTTCTCACTTAATAGGCAATGTCTTCCTTCTCCTATGAGAAAGTGAACTACTTCTGACTGACATTTCACTAAGTTTCAGCCATGAAAAATGAACCCCCTATACACTCACTGCCTGGCCGGTTCACTGACTGCTTCATTACACATGGATACTGGCTGGTGGACCTACTACCACTTTCATCCATTTGTGTTCCACCAACATGTATGTAAATATTGTAAAAAGATACAAATAAAAAAGGAACAAATATGGTGCTGATAAAGAGCTTATAAGGAAATGGTTAATATTATTGTTACCAATAGAATAAGTAATAATCACTTGGAATCCTTTTTACTGTAACATTTGGAGATCCTGAGTTGATTTCAATGTGTTGCATTGCAGCTCACACCAGACACCAGGTTCGTTGCTAGGGTGCAGTTTCTTCCAGTCAAACACTTGTAACTTAAAAATTACCCTTCAGCCAGATTGTTACACATGAGTGAAGAACAAAACAATCTCTAGCAGTAACCAGATTTTATTCTTAGGTAGTAACTTACTGCTATAAGTGAGCAAAGTAGAGTTGAGATGTAAGTGAGGTGGGATGTGTGAAGTTTGCAGTTCAGTAACCTGTTTTCCTTTTCGCAGGATGGTCAGTTTTATAGACAACAATTTTCTTTGTCTTGTCATCTAAAAAAATAATCTTCCTTCCATCATTTTCTCCCAGTTTGAGCTTCTTGCTCTTGTATTTTGAAGTTAACTCTATATCGACTTTTGCAACATGTCCCACTGTTTTTCAACTCAACAAAATAGTTGAGTCATATTACTACAAATTTCTATTTACTATTCCATTGGATTCTCATGTGATGCAATGAAAATATCAGAAAATGTTTAGTTCTCAAAATATTATTCAATGTAGCTTTTATTTTTGGCAGATTTTAAACTGATACTAAAGTTTATCTTCTTTTTTGCTTTTTATTTTATTTTATGTATTTTTTTTTTTTTTTTTTTGCAGGCTATAAAACTTTGCATTGAAAACTGCCAGAAGGTATATCCAGTCATCCAACACTGTTTAATGAAATCAAAAAATCTTGAGGAATAAAGTTTTTTTATATTTATTTATCCGTGTACAGATTTCTTTATTGAATTGTTTCCTGCTAGCATAAAAAAAATGACTGCCATACATAAATAATTTTTCAGTTGCATCATTTATATTTTCTGCATGAGCACACTTAAGATTTTTATTTATACAATTGACCCTATTGCCATATTTAAAAAAGAATTCTGTTTTTTAAATCATTAAAATTAAAAATAGCCAAAGAAAAGTGACACAACCTCTCCCATCAAAAAAAAAAAAGAAAGAAAAATGACGGCAATAATTTGGCAATTGCATTGGTTATATTTTCTGCTTAAATAATCATTTTTGTTAACATTTTAAATCATTAAAATTAAATATAGCTGATGAAAGCTAATATAGCCTAAATTGTTAACAACAACAAAAAATGACAGCCATATTTAAATAATTTTGCAATTGAATTGGTTATATTTTCTGCATGAATAATCAAGGATTTTTATCTTTAGAATTATTGCGTATATTGTAACAAGAATTAATTTTATTTTCTTATATCATTAAAAGTAAATATATCCTTAAGACAACACAAATAAAAATCAACATTTTACCAATCTGATCTCCCTCTACTTACCAATGAGATATTCTGTTATTATGGTAACACACGGCCTGTTTCTGTATTGACATCAACTAATACTTATTTTTAATAGAATATCTCATTACTAAGAATGAGAGATCAGGCTACATGACCAATAAATATTTAAAGTTACATTGTGCTTCATATTTGAGAATAGATTGTTATACAAGGTGCAATTGACAAATTGTCGCCATTTTATTTTTATTTTTTAATTTTGTGTATGTGCATAATTTTTGATTTTTTTTCAACTGCACAATGTAGTAGGGTCAGTTTAGCACTGTCTGTGAGAAAAAGAGCACTGTGACGCAATTCAGCCTGCTAGAAATTTGGAAATGGTATGCTATACTGCTTGGCATTTCCACCAGAAGCTCCAATGCAAATATTTCAGAGTGTTTAGGCATCAATCTGAGGACAGTGCAGAGGATCTGGAAAGAATCGGATGAGTCTAATGGTGATTATGAAGATGTTTGGAGTGATCACTAGTGATGGCAACGTTATGCCTCCATTCCTCTTCCCACTGAGCCTCAGACTCAACATGAAGTCCTACATCAAGTGCTTTAAGGTGATAGTGCTGCCTTGGGTCAAAAGGGTGGCTGCTGGAAGAGCCTATATCTGGCAACATGACTCTGCACCATGCCACACAAGCAGGAGAACCCAGTCATGGCTGTCAGACAATTTCTCCAACCACATCACCCCTTACATCTGGCCACCTAACTCCCCACACTGCAAGCCTCTTGATTGTTATGTGTGCGGTGCAGTTGAGCAAGAAACCAACAAAACTCCTTGTAACACCAAAGATGAACTGAAGGCAAGGATTATGGCGGCATTCACCAACTTAAAGAGACTGTCCAGAAGAGTTACAGGAGATTCCAAAGTTGTCTTGGGGATGGAGTTGAAGCCAATGGCGATTTTATTGTATAAGTTTACTCTTTAGTAATTCAAGAGGTATTTTTGTGTAACTTTGGTAAGTTGAAATGGCTAGATGCAACCATAAGTTCTATGTTAACAGTTTCTTCTCGCTTGTGGAACTCTCTTCCAGCTTCTTGCTTTCCCATCAACTTTGATCTTCAAAAATTTAAATTCTTTTATTGTTCACGGTCCTTAATAAAGTTTTGCTTTTTCTCATATTCTTTTACACTCACTAACTCCCTTGGGTATTAGTGACTTTATTGCCTTGCTTGGGGTGAAATCATTAAAAAACTGGGATTGGCAGTCTGATGATGACCATGTTTATCACTTTGATATTCTTTCAGAAATGAATGCTGTCAACTTTGCATTTGAACAGTCCCATTGCTATCTTAACATAATCTTAGATATCGTTGTACCATGAAATGAAAGAGAATTTTTGGCATGATAAATGCAAGCAAAGAATTCTCTGGTTAATGTATGTTACATTAATGCAGTGTTGAATCAAAATCAACTTGTATTGTCTAATGGCATCTCATACATTCACATATTACATAGAAAGTTTTTTTTTCTTCTCTGCTTTCAATCCCGATTCCTATCATGTCTAAGCAGCTTATCTTTTCCAGACAGTTGCGCATAATCAAGTCTTGTTTGCTCGTTTTTTTTTTTTTAAAACATTGTGACCAAATTATTCTCCACCCGGGGATTGGCTCTATTCCAAAATCATACAAAAGATTCAATGTTAGGGAGAGCTAGGACAAAGTGTAAAATGTTTTTGTGTGACATGTTTCACCCTTTAGGACTTCATCACACAAAAACTTCATGGTATCACATGAAAACATTTTCCACTTTGTCATAGATTTCCCTAAAATTGTTCTTGAGATATAAAAATTTATATATTGTCCTTTTCACACACACACACACACACACACACACACATATATATATATATTAACGGTAACAAATCCATTGGTATATAATCCAAGTGGACCATAGTAATATAAAATATTAAAACTGATCCACAAAAAGAACTCAGTGTATTTATTAGTACAGAGCAATATAATAAACAATAAAATCCAAAATTACCTCTTAGGGGGAATAGCCTATTTTGGCAGACGAGGATATCGGTCATCTATCTCATCAACTCTGGTGTGGACTGATTTTGTGTCTAAAACAATCTAATCTTAACCCTAGTGGATTTGTCAAGGAGACAATTTCGTAATAATATCGGCCTCTGAAGATGAACCTAGTGTGCAGCACTGTTAGGAAACACTTCAAAAAATGCTGCAGGTTGACCCAATCCGTGTGAGTGAAATTAGGCAGATGGAATTGTTCGGGGTCCATCCATGGTTGCATTGGCACGAAGTCGCAAGTCATCATGACCGAGTGTTTCAGTGTACTGACCTCAAAAATTCAAAAACTGTTGATGCATTATCTAGTTGCAGTATAAATGTCAGGTTTGCTATGTGGGTACTGAAGAAACACAAATGTTCCTGGGCGGACGTCTACAACAGTGATTAGCTAGCCATCCTCGCAGACTGGCATACTAGGTATTACTTCATATTCTCAGTTGTTAGCTTTCTGTCTTAATTATGACTTAACAATCTAAGAGTTTACTAAAGTGTTCGGAGTACTGAGTGCAAAAGAAACCCGATTAAGGCTGGATATTATAACAGCAAAAATGTGAATATGACAATATGGGCATACTTGAGAAAGGCATTTTATATAGTTTTGTTCTCATAAATTTCTATTCTCACCATAACAACAAAATAAAAAACGGAATAGTTATCGAATTCTGTTTAAGAGTACTCAGAATTACTGAATATTTTCATGATAAAAAGAAATACATAGAAATACTTTTAAGCTCCCCCAATACACTAAATAAATATTTAATATGCAACGCAAAACAATAAAGCTCGTCAAATATTTCAAAATCAAAGACAGAAACATTCAAATAAATCCAACGAGACAGATTACCTACCAACTCTATCACAACTATAATTAAAAAGGATTTATCTAAGCTTGATTGATTAATTTGTTTAATGACATATCAACTTGTTATGAGCCATTTAATACCGAAATGTTATTTTCTTGGGAGTTTTGAAGTAATAAAAATATAATGTATGCTATTCTGCTTTCACAGATGAATACAGAGTCGATAATACCCAGCTTTTGTACATATACATGTTTGTGTGGACATGATTACCAGAGGTGATGATATGTGTGTTTTATGTTGTAGCTTTACGTAAGTTATATTTTGGAATAGTTTGAATTATAGGATATCATATGGATTAATGTCACGAAAGGGTTCTTTCATGTTGGTTATGTAGTTGGTTGGTTTGGGCACCTCGGCAAGCTTGTCTCACTAGAACAATTACGACTGAAAAGTGAGTTCGATCCTCACCAGGTACCCCATACTTTCGGCTTTCTGCCACATCTAAGCTACGCTTGGAAAATAACTATATCAAGGGCACCTCGAGGTTAGCAAGCTTGCCTTGCTAGCACATTTATGACTGAGTAGTGAGTTCGATCCTCAGTGGGTACCCCATTCTTTCGGCCTTGTGCCACATCTGAGCTACGCTTGGAAAATCACTATGTAGTTGGTTGGTTTATTTTGTTTAGCAGCATATCAACCACGATGGGCTAATTAATAGCAAAATCTAATTTTTTTTTTAATACAATTTTATGGCTTCAACTACAGATAAAATGTATTGTTGATCCCAAATGTATGCCTTCAACTACAGATAAAATGTATTGTTGGTCATTTTGATATAAAACTTATTCTTGATAATTCTACTATAAAATGCATTGCTGGTCATTTTGATTTAAATATATATTGTTGGTTATTTTATTATAAATATCTATTGTTGGTCTTTTTTATATAAAAATGTATTGCTGGTATTTTTACTATAAAATGTATTTTTATACTTTCATAGAGATTTTTTATTTTATTTGGGGGTTCACTATTTTTCCATAGCTGGGACCCTAACAGGTGCTACCACCCTGGGTCAGGGTGGACCTGGGAACAACAGCAGTTAAGCGGTGGTTCCATGCTCCTTAAAATCACCAATCTCCCAATCAGAGGCCTTGATGCCGAATGTAGGTTATTGCCATATTCGGGATTAATCTAAGCTTGACACCAAATTTGATACAAACGCTTCTAAAATAAGAAGAGACTTAACTAATACAAAGCAAAATGATAATAAGCTAAAACTTGAAGAAAGAATTTAGTCTATTATTTATATAATAAATGTGAATTTTAGTGTGTCACTGTATCACACTTTTTCAACTTTTCTCCTAGGGGCCACAACCCAATATGTTATACCATTTTGGAATCAGGCCAACTCCGTGAGCAAATTAAATTCCGGGTCAGATAGCGGCCTGCAATCCTGAAATTTTGGATTCCCAAGTTTCCATTACTGTGATTGTTTTCGGATTCCATCATCGTGGCTTCAACTGATAAAAACAATTAAAGGGACATAACTATCTA